GAAACCAGGCTGGATATGTGACCTATGTCTCTGTGCCTCCAGGATTTGTAGCAAACTAAGACACCCCATGAAAAAAGAAGTAGCAGATCTTTGTTTTTCTGCAGAACCCATCCCATGAGCCCTCAGCTTTTGTTTGCTTGCAGATCTAGGTTGGCCATCATCCCGCAGGATCCATTTTTGTTCAGTGGCTCAATCAGAGAAAACCTGGACCCCCAGGGAAAATGGGTGGATGCTGAGCTCCGCGAGGTGCTGGAGCAGTGCCACCTGTGGGATGCTGTTACACAGATGGGTGAGTTGGAAACCAGTGAGAAGCAGCTGATGAGTGTGGGTTCTGCGAGAGGAGGGAAGGCCTTAGCTGGGGCAGGGAACTGAGGTGGATGCAGTAGGGAATGGGTTAGAACCAGTGTGGGAACAGGTCAGTGGGACCTGGTGGCATTATCTGACATTTGGAGGTAAATGGACTGGCAGGTGATGGATTGGGTGGCAGAAGTTCCCTGGTGAGACCAGCGGTGTTAGAGGAGTAGCTGAGAGATAAGCCAGGCAAGGGAACTGTGCCACATGTTGCTTGTGTCTAAGTGTAAAGGCTCCAGTTCCTAAGGCCTGGGCCTGAGCAGAATTGGGATTTTGTGTGCTTCTGGGAAAACCTTGGACTGGTGGAGCTGTTTGGGGCCCTGTGCAGATGATGCAGGTGACTGCTGATCTTGATCCCTGCAGGTGGACTGGACAGTGAGCTGGGAGAGAGGGGAAAGAGTCTGTCTGTGGGACAGAGGCAGCTGGTGTGTCTGGCCAGAGCCCTCCTGACACAGGCCAAGGTGAGTGCACTGCCTCCATCAGAGCAAGGGGGAGGGTGACCTGCTGGTGGCTGTCTGGGGACAGCAGAGGAGAGTGCTGCAGAGCTGGAAGTGTAATGGGAACACATATCCTGTCCTAACTTCTCAGGCTGTGTCTAGCCAGGGAGTGGGGTCTCTGCTGGGGTGTTTGGGAGCTCCCTTCACTTTCTGTCCCTGGCAGGTGCTGTGCATCGATGAGGCCACAGCCAGTGTGGATCAGAAGACAGACCAGCTGCTGCAGCAGACCATCCGCCAGCGCTTCGCTGACAAAACTGTTTTGACAATTGCTCACAGGTATGGAAGAACCTCTGTGCCTAAAGTCATCCTACCACTCACGGGGAGAGGTGGCTGCACATGCCATGCCTGGGCCTCAAGATGAGCATGGAGGTCTCTGTGATAAGGTTTTTCAAGTGCCAAAGCTGGACCTTCCTTGCCTTTTGCTTTTTCTGCTGGGTGCTGGGTACAACTGGATGTGAAAAAGGGAAAATGTTGTACCCAGAAGGTGGTGTCAGCAAAGGGCAAAATGCCACATCATATCACAGATTTCTCTTCCTGGGCACTGCCTGCTGGCATCGGTAGGGCAGGTGAAACCTTCCTTGTGGTTCTGCCACATAGGGCGAGGAGTAATGGAGAACTATCCTATGGAAAGGGGCAATGTGGAGACAGTGGAGGAGCAGGTGTCCTTGGCTCAGTAGAGGGCAGTGCAGGACAGCCAGCAGCAAAGGGCTGCAGCCAGCTCCTGTATAGCTCTGTCTTCCAAAATCCTGAGTTTTAGTTTCAGCCTGTACCTTGTGCCAGCAAGATAGACACTGCTCAGGCAGGACAGGACAACAGTGATTGCCTCCCATCTGAGAGACTGAGAGTACAGTTGGTGGATGGTTGCAGTCAGAGGGAGGAGGGCAAAACATGAATACTGCAGAGAAGGGATGGATCAGCATTAGGTGGTGTTCTCTGCTCTTACTCTTGCCAAGTGGAGGAGCATTTGGAGGAGGGTTATGCAATTGTAAGGAGGGTGTTTTCAAAGCACAGAGGTTACCACAAAAATAAAAATCAAATGAGCAGGTGACAGGGGCTGGTGTCCTGCTGCACAGGAGTGGGAGTGATGGATGACAGGCAGGGTGGGCTGGGCCTGGCAAGGGAATCAAGTGGGTCTTGTTAAATACATTATGTAGGAGGGAGATGGGAGGGGTGTGAAGGGAATGTGGTTCCTACACTTGGGATGTTAGCCATAAATAGAGTAGAAGTGCAAGAGCACTGTGAGCTGTGTATTTGGGTTGGGTGTGGGGAAGCCACCCTTAATGGGAGAGTAATTAAAAAGGAGAAACAGCAGAGGAAGGAGTGGCAGAAGGCAAAGCAGCAAGACTGAGCTGAAGATGGCCCCAGCCCCTTTTCCACTGTGATAAAGAGCAATGGGGGAGAGCAGTAAGGAGAGAGATGGTGGGGTTGTTTTGTATCCATGGTTTTTCCATGCCATTCAGCTTTGGGTAAAATCCAGGATGGGAGATGACTCTGTACTTGTCTCTTGCCCCGCCAAGTCACTTCCAGTGCTGCAGCCTGCACCCTGTTGGAGATGAATGTCTAAACAGAGCAGAATCTTGAACTCCATAATGCCTTTTACCTGTTCAAATCCTGTGTAGTGTCTGCCTTATGATTTGCAGATTTGTAGGGCTGTAGTTTCACACTAAATGGGGCACGACTGTGCAAAAACATTTCTGCTGCCCTGTCTTCCCTATCCAGAGCCAGAGGTTGCTGCTCTGCTGGCAGTCTGGGTAGACCTGGGCACGTATGTGTGCAGTGGGTCCTGTGGTTGGCTGTCTGGCAAGTACAAATCCAGTGGTGTTGGTAGCATAAGCAAAGATGCTAGACTGCAGGGGAATAACAGCTGATGCACAATTTCTGCTGCCCTTGGGAGGTGGCAAGTGAGGAAATGTTGGGGCAAATAAAGCAACTCACTAACCTCTGTGGGGATGGAGACATTTTGTATAACCCCAGAAACAGGCATGCCCTGAGCTTCCCTGAACAGAACTTCCCTCTGTGCTCCTGGTGCCTTGCCATGCCCAGCAACTGGAAGGCATCACTGTGCTCTCCTAAGAGGTGCTGCATTTCAGCAGCAAGCAGAGGCTCTTTGGGGAGCTGCACTGCACCGTGACCTTGAGTGGAGAGGGAGATCCTCCATAGCTCCTAATGCTGGGCATGTCTTGGGCCACCCTTAACAGCAGGGGAAGCAGTATCCAGAGGTTCTCCTCAGATCCAACAATGTGTGTCCTGGCATTTGTTGTCCACAGGCTAAACACCATCCTGGACTCGGACCGTGTGCTGGTGATGCAAGCTGGGAGAGTAGCAGAGCTGGATTCACCTGCCCGCCTAAGCCAGAAAGATGGCTCCTTGTTCCAGCACCTCCTGCACAGCAGGCAGCAATGATCTCCCTCCTGGGCTCAGCCCAGGCAGCCCATCAGCTGGGTGCCTGGCTTTCCTCACCTCAGACACCAGCCCTGTCCCTGCAGGTCGAGGACCTGCTGAGATGAGGGAGGGGCTTATTCCTGCCTGCAGGCAGCAGTTGTGTGTCCTCAGGGATGGACTGGAGTGTGGCACTGTGGCCTTTGCTTTAATAGGGAAGATGTGACCTGCTGTTGAGAGTTATGCAATCCTGGTTGGTGGGATCCTGCTCCCCTCCAAGGCTTCCCTTTGAGATTACAGAGGGATTTTTTACTCATGGAAGAATCAGTAACTCCTTGTTTGAGACTTAGTCTGACATACACAATGTAAAATAAAGTGGAAATATCCTTGTGGAGCTGTTGATTCAGGTCCTTGGCCCTTTTCCTCATCAGACACTTATATTCTTATGAGATACAAGAGTGGTGCCCTCTACATGAAGACAACCCTACCTACTCTCTACTATTCCCAGAAGGCTTTTCCAAGCCCAGAAGGTTGCACCCAGGAACCTTGCTACTTTTCCTCTGGTTTTCAGTGGAGGTCTTTCCCTGAAGGGGCTAGAATGCAATTGCATTAAAGGCCTCTAAGGATAGTTTATTTCAAGACCACTCCCTCAAGGGAAATTCTCTATCCCTCCTGCCCTGCATCCAGCTGCAGAAAACCCACAGTTGCTGTCAGTTTTAGGATCTTGCTTTTGCCATAGGCACCTGGGACTCCTTCCCAACACTCTTAAGGCAATGTCTAACCCACATCTTTGCTATGCTGTCCAGGGGTAGGTGCCATTCCTTCCCCTGAGGCTGTAGGAGCCATCCCCATCCCTGCAGGTGGAGAATAAGGCAGGACAACTGTACCACAGTCTGGGTTTGCATTCTTGAGGAAAGTAATGGAGATCTTCAGCAAGTTTCTGAGCAACCTGATCTACATGGATCTGCTGAGAGCAGGAGGCTGGTGTTCAGAGGTCCCTCGCAACCTAAATTGTTTTATGATTCTTTGATACACTGTTTCTGAGCTTGTACTTATTTTATTTGATAAAGGTACATAATCCATCTGTGTATTAAAAAAATAATCTTTCTGATGAAGTCCCAGTCCCCTCTCCCAGGTCTTACTCCTACCTGAGCAGTCACTTCTTTGCTCACTTCACACCACCTTGAAACTAGCTCTGCAACCCTACAAGCCAGTAGGAGGGTTTGGGTTGTGGGGAGTTTTGCCCCACTGCTTAGCCACTACATCCATGAGGAGGCACAGAAATCCCTGGTCTGGGACAGAGACACTGATTGCTGCACACCAGACCAGCAGAGGCAGGAACAGACCTCATACAAAGGGTAAGTGACCCAACCATCTGCTGCCTCTCAGCCATGCTTTAGCAATAGTGGAGAAGGCAGTTTTGTGTCTGCTTCCTATGTTCATCCCAGGCTTACATCCACTGTGGGGAGTTTAGCCTTTCTTTGTATGAGAAAAGCTGCAGTGACTGTTCTGAGGTTAGAGCCAGCTGCTGCCTGCCTTAGAGTGAATGGGAGAGGAAAGGAGGACCTGGATCCTGTATTGCTCCTGAACCAGCCACAGCACAGCCTTGGCATCTCCAGCTTCACCTATGAGGACATATGAGAAGGATCAGCTCAGGCCCAGAGGAGAGCAAATAGTGAGGCAGGAGAGCCCACTGGAGAGGCAAAGGATCTTGGTCATTTGTGGCCAGACCAGAAAGGACGGCTTAGTAAGCGAGTCATAGAGATCTCTGGATTATCAGGAGGAAAGTACGGAACATGTTTGTAACCCCCAAGTCTGACAGGAATAGGAGGGTGCATCAGCCAGGGCAGAAGAAGGGCATGAGACCTGCAATGATTTTTGAAGTCTCTTTTTACAGAACCACAAGGCTAGGGAGCAAGGGTGTTTGCTCACTCCCTAGGGACATGGCGTCTGAAATGACAGCCTCCAGAAACAGCCAGGAACTACCCCATACAGTACTGTGGCAGGGAGACCCATGCAGCTATAACTGTCCCAAAGGCCCCAGAAGAAGCATCCCAACACCAGCAGAAATGAGGATAAAGCCCCTTCCTGTAGTCGCAGAGAGGAGTTACAAAGGGTCTGGCAGTATTTGGGCTTGCAAGAGGGCTGTGCCCTCCTCAGCACCATGTGTCCTGTTTCTGAGTGCTGGAGTCAGATGACAGTGGTGCCTGCATGGCACGGGCTGCTGCAGGCAGCACACCACAACTTCCCTGCAGGGCCGGCCCAACACAGCCCTGCCTTCAAATGCCCGTGGGTGCCAGCTGAGCCAGCCAGCCAGGAGACAGCTCAGACCCAGGCAGGGCCATCACACCAATGCTCAACACCCAGGGTTTTGTTGATGCGTTTGCTGCCCTGGGAGCCCTTCCCCGCTGCCCAGTTGGTGCCGGTGTGGCTCTGCAGGGTGCAGTTCAAGGGGTTTGCCAGCATGATGACCTGCCAGGGCCTGGTTCAGAGTCCTCACAGCTCTGTGGTCTTCCTTGGCTCAATCAAGATGGTGTTGAGCATGCCCACCTGACACTCCTGGTCTTGGAGCTTTCTTGCAGCCTGAGAAGGGCTTTGGCACCAGTTCGACCTTTGACGGCCTCTCTGCCAGTTCCTCAGCATTAGCAGGACAGTGATGAGGACCAGCACTGCTGTCAGCACCCCAAACACCAGCACTGTCACCAGCTGGGCTTCACTCAGCCCTGAGTCCCTTTGGGTCACCACCTCCTTCACAGAGATTTTCAACAACCCTCCCCCTGGCTCTTTCTCACTGTGGTTGGCCACACGCCGCCCTGTGACCACAGTCCTGATTGGCTCTGGCTGTGTCACCCCTGGTGTCTCACTAGTGCTTTTCAAACCTCCAACATTCTCATGGTTTGCAGGGTGGTAGGGAGGAGACCAGGTGGGCTCAGGGATAGAGATCTCACAGGTTTTGCCAGTGAAACGGTCAGGACACAAGCAGTCATAGTCATTGATGCGGTCATAGCACTTTGCTCCATTTTTGCACGGCTGGCTGGCGCAGTCGTTGATGTTGATGGTGCAGAAACGCCCTTCAAAGCCCACCTGGCACTGGCAGGAGAAGCGGTTGACACCATCGTGGCAGGTGGCCCCATTAGCACAGGGGCGCATCAGGCAGTCATCCACATCATGCTCACAGAGAGCCCCCACAAAGCCAGCGAGACACCGGCAGGTGAAACTACTGGCAAAGCCATTTTCATCTTGACATTGCCCACCATTCTTGCACGGAGACCTGTGTGGAGAGAGCGAGGATAGGTCATGGTCCTGGAGACCAAGCAGCTTCCCCCACCCCAAGTGTGTACCTGAGGTAAACACGCAGAGCTGCTTGCGTGGTCAGTGTGTCCAGTTCTTTCCATGGGAGCAGCTATCTCTAGGAGAAGACTGGATGGGAGTTCCTGTTTCCTTGAGTGAGAGGCCATGGGACCTCCTCAAAGGCTGTGGCTGTGCACAGGCCCACCACCCACCAGGGAAGGTCTTCAGCCAAATGATCTGAAGAGGAAACATGCCCTCCTGATGCTCCCCACAGGCATCATGGATGTCAGCTCATCACACCTACAGCAGTTTGGCTGCCTGGGAGATAGGATGTCCCAGGCATGATGAATAGATTCCTGTCCTCTTACAGCAAGGCCAGGAATCTGTTCAGATTGCAACAAAGCCGTTACCCTGGTGGGACCACGCAGTGCATGCTGCTAAACCAAAGCCAAAGGTGATTTTGGCTTAACTCCATTACTGTATGGAAATTCACAGGTAATGAGCCAAGCTGGGCCTCTACTTGGCAGTGTGTGACCCAAAGTTAATGCTGTCTGTAATCTCACTGCAGTGTCTCACCCTGCCTTCTCACATGGCCCTGTCTTCATCTCACAGTCCTTCCCATGGAAACCTTCTGGACACAGGCAGGAGTAATCCCCATCTCGATCGTAGATGCACTGTGCCCCGTTCTGGCAGGGGGACTGGTGTTGACAGATGTGTATGTCTGAGGGGAAAAAGATAGTGTCAATTAGAGAGAAAAGAGGGTTGATGTGGCCAACTCAGTGCAAACACAACCCACAGAACCCCCTGGGGATGGATAAGTGGCAAGAGTTTCTCTCTTCTCCCCTCCAATAGGCACCTGCAGCAACAGAAGTGCAGTGCCTGCGTGGTTGTGAAGATGCAGTGCATGCCAACTGTCTGACCAGTGGAGATCCCCTTGTACAGACAAGTCCCTAGGGAGAAGGGGAGAAGTGAGAAGGGGAGTCCCCCAGATGCCTGCTGAAGGCAGGAAGCCTTGGGGGAAAGCAGGGGATGATGCTTGGAGTCCTGATGCAGCATGGGAAATGCAAGGAATTAATCTGCTCCATTTCCTGAGGCCAGCAAGCTTCACACCAGCTCCTGCCATACAGCCATGGAAAAAGTGTCAGCAGTCTGACCTCTCTTGCAGGAACAGAATGGTCCCAGCTGTGGCTGCCAGGCAACATCCCATCTCCCAAGCAGCCAAAACAGCATCACCCAGGTGGCTTCTGGCTATGCCAGCTGATATATCCATGAGGGTGTGCTGGGCTTCTACTCTCAGCACCAGATGTGGGGATGCCCAGCCCACAACTCACCTTTGTCACAGAACTTGCCAGCCCAGCCAGTGTGACAGATGCACTGCCAAGGCTGGTGGCATGTCCCATGAAGACAGCCTGGCATGCGCACGCACTCCTCACAGTACTCCCCCTCCCAGCCTGGATCACACCTGCAGGAGGACAGGGCATAGCAGCATAATCAAATCAAATCAAATAATCAAATCCAGCAGGAAAGCTGGCTACGTGCTGTGCAGGGCCCCTAAAGAGACAGCAGTGCTCGGATACCCTCCCAAAGGCCCCATGGACCTCCTAGCTCCTTCTTCCAGAGGTAAGTACTGGCATCTCATCTGTCCGAGGAAGCAAGCAGACACCCCCTGCAGCCAGGGATGGTGAGTGGCCAGCAACAGAGCTAAGCAATTTCACTTTCACTGCCCACATCCCTCTGATCTCCTCCAACCAGCCACTCTGTATACACCACTGCACTAGCTCAGCAATTCTGCCTCCCACAGCAGGCAGCCACTCTGACAGGCAGAGAGGAGCCCATCCCTAACCCTGAGCTTCCTGAGGGAAAGGGTCAAGAGGCTGCTGAGGTCCGTGTGTTTCACTGCTTCTCTCTGCATTATAATGTGTGTCATTTTTTGTCTGGAGTGCACAGTAAGCCAGCTGTGAAACCTTGCTTGCTATGGCTGGTGCACAGAACAGTCTTATCAGCCAGCTCACAAGGGCAGTGCAATGGGAGAACCTGCAGCACACAATGAGTCTTCTGGCCCCAGAAGAGCAGGGCAGTGGCAATGCCTAAGCAAAGCCAAGCTGTATTGCTCCAGGGGCAGGCATCCCTCAGACCTGCCAGCTCCAAGGCAGAAAGCAAGTGATAACAAGATGAGAGCTCAGAGGAGGTGGCACCAAGCCACAACAAAAGATATACTAAAACCAGCACAATGGAACCAAACAAAAACAACACAGTTTCTAGAGTAAGGAAGGGAGTTCATTTTCATGGCTGGGGCTCATTTAAGCACAATGTGTGGTGACTGCAGTTTTTTTGAGCTGGCCTACAGCTGCACTTTCAAACCTGGGTTGGCTGTTGTTGTATGTTGTTCCAAAGAGATGACGAGTGAGGAAAATGGTAAAAAAAAAAAAAAATAATATATATACATACACATATATTAATTAGAGGCTTTTCAATGGGACTGGAAGTGATACCATGTGCCTGTTATAGTCTGGGGAAATACATTAATACCTGGACAGCCCTGAGCAGAGGGATGTTTACACCCCTACCCCCAGTACCTGCAAAGAGCAGGTGCTACCAATTCTTCCACTTCTCCAAAAGGGAGCTGGCCAACCTAAAATTTGCCAGGAAGGGGGCCAGGTAAGCAGCCAAGTCTCCCTGAGTTTGAGGTGATTTTGAGGTACTACCAAGCCACAGGATTCAGCAAATGCTCTGAAGGCCTGAAATCAGCAGCAGCAACTCATGTGTGGAAAGATCTGCAGCTGGGACACCTGTCACAATGTGACATGTGGCCTTTCTCATTGGGGCTTGCAGCACCGTGCTCCCCCAACCAGCCACAGCTGCTGAAAGGGCTCAGGGAGGAGCTCTATGCAGCTGCAAACGAGGCCCCAGCCAAACCAGAGCTGGACACTCCCTGATGCAGCAGCCAGCAAGAACAAGTGGCCCAGGTGTGGTGTGACAACAGGGGTTGTTCTGTGAAAGGGGATTGACCATGCCCTGGTGAGGAGAGCAGTCTGCCCCTTGCAGCCACAGGTGTCCAAGCCAGCCCAAAGCCAGCCTTTGCCTCCCGGTGCTGCCTTTTAGAGTGGGGCTCCAGATGGCCCTACAGTGGGACAACAGGCAGTGGGTCTGGGGCAGCCCAGAGCAGGTATATGGGTGCTCCCCAGACTGAAGTGCAGGGTCAGGCTCTGAGCTTTGATCCTGCGGGATCTGAGCACCAGCTGGAGCTGGGATGCCAAGTACCACCTCTGCTGCTGTAGCTCACAGCTTGCTGGTAAACCCTTTTTGAAAATATCCGGAGATCCCCATCACAGCTCAGGCTTCTGAGAGGGGACCCCTGAAGCCCTCAGTTATATGGATGGCTGGAAGCCCTTCTCTTCCATGCCTCAGGGAGAGCACCTCCATCTCAATCAGTAAGGAGGCCAAGCAAGCTGATCAACCCTCATGCCTGCCCTGCTGCCTGATGACATTGCCCCATCATATCTGAGCCTAAAGGCTGCTTCCCATCACCCAGGCATGGCCAGGCTATCCTGGGCTTACCTCTAGACAAAAAGGGCTCAGCAGAATAACAGTGGTCAGTGGGTGAAGGTGGGCACCCTGGAAGCACTGGAGCAAAGGCTAGAGGGGACCAGCAAGAGGCTGAGGCATCAAAATCTCTCACTCCAGAAAGTGTCAGGTAAGAAGAGAGCAGAGTGATCGGTTCCAGGTGTGGGTGAGTGGAAGAGGAGGTGCTTCAGCTCCAGGCAGGGGAGTAGGCACCAGGGACACAACGTCAAGGGAGGGAGAGCAGTTACAGTCAGGAGCAGCAGAGAGCCAAACACAAGCCATACCTGCACTTCCCATCCTGGTCACAGCAGCCATGGGAGAGATTGCAGCGCTCACTGCAGTCATCCCCTACAAGACAAGAGACATGTGGACTTGGATTAAGCAGAGAACTATAGATGATTCCAGATCTGCCCATGGCCCTAAGTGTTTCCTTAAGTGCTTAGCCTACCTGTCCCCAGAACTGTAAGGTGGGGGACCTTCCTTTCACTCACTGGATGCCACACAAGAAATGAAGATTTCACAGTCCACTGTCTATAACACTGTCTTTATTGAGAAATGGGGCTCTGTTTCAAAACTACCCAGTCTCTGGTCATCTTCCCCACCTTTTCTCTGCTGCCTCCCTTAGATTTTGGGCCCTTCTAGGCAAGAGCTGGGGTTGCCTGTGCATTAAGACAACTTGTGTAATAGGGACTGACCCACCTGGGACCTCCTCTCAATAGTCTTGCAGTAAGTATGGTGAGAAAGCTCAGAGCCAAGTACTGCAAGGGGCGCAACGGGACCAAGGATGGAAATGGAAAGAATGGTTCTTTACCTCCCAGGATGTTACCATCTCCAAGGACAGCTATTGGCAAAGAGTGGTGTGACAGGGGCTCCTGCCCTCTTCCAGGACCCAGTTGCCAGAACTCCCCTCCCAGCACAGGGAAGCAGGACTTGGCATCACATGGGGCCAAGTATCCAGTTCTGTTTATTTATTTAAAAGCCATAGAAGCTGTAACTGAGCCATGGCCTCACTGTGCCATTTCTCATTCTCTCCTTTGTGCCAGGTGTTCCCTTTCATCTCCACCTTCCCCTCTTCCCCACTACTCGCTTGCATCTTAGCTCCAGAGGTGAGCTGGTTCACTCTGGCTCCATAAGCAGCAGAACTAGAGCAGATGTCAAGAAGCAGGGGGGTTTCTCCAGAAGTCTTGTGCAAGTCTTGTGCAAGCCAGGCCCAGGAGGTGGATGTCCTTACCTGAGCCCCTCCATCCTGGACTGAAACAGATTAAAGCCCCCATGCCTAAAGATGCGCTCAGGCTTTCCCAAGCAGCATCTTGTGCTGCCTGGGAAAATGTGCAGGGGAAGAAATCCCCTGTGCATGCAATTTTGCTGCAGTAGGCAGCAGGTCCCACTGCACAGGGTAAGAGCCTCCTAAAACAAGTCACTATGGAGCTGGAGCAGCATCCTGGAACTGCTCAGCCCCAAGCCTGGGTATTGCCACCTTTCCTATTTGTAACCATCTCTCCTGGCACAAGGCTTTGGGAATTCATTGCTTACCCAGAGCAGGGATAGAGCAAACTAATCTTTGGGAAGGATTTTGTCTCACTGAACCCAGGGTTAGCTGTTCACTTTAGGGACCTTCTTTCCCCTGAGCAAGCTGGAAATTTGGGAACCCATTAGCCCTAACTGAGAGAGCCAGAGCAGCAGGAATATCTCTGTCAGTCTGCTCAGGCATTGCCACCCCTGTGGGTAAGAGTTTCCAGTGTCATACCTCGGGTGATTCATGACTGGGCAGCATTTTCTGCTTTTCCAAGTCAGACCATCTCAATTTTGCATGGAAAACTGAGGAGACTTCAGCAATGCCAAGGACAGGTTTGGAAAGATGGAAATGAAAGAGAAGGACCCATGTGTACAGAGACTCACCTTGCACAAGCTGGTGATGGGCCAAGAGGATCCAAATCAAGGACATGAGCTGGAGACAGAAGTTCCTGAGCATGGTCAGTGTGGCCCCACCGAGATGAACACCTACAGAGAGAAAAAGAGCAAGCTCAGCAAAATCCCTTGGCTGACACCACAGCTCCTCTCTACTGCCTGGGAGTTTGAGTTGAAACATCCAGTTTTATACAGCTTTGTCACCACACTCCCCTCTGTTCCATCCAGACTCCTTCCTCTAAGTCAGTGTTGGGGCACTAAGAATTAAAAAGCTTTTGAGAATGTGTATATAGCAGAATCTAGGGTGCACACTCAATCCTGAGTGTGTAATGGCTCAGGCTGTTACAGGACATCTTGAAGCTGCTGTCAGGAGAAATACCCACCCAGCTGTGGGGACCTTCATCTTCCCTCCCTAGATCTGGGATGCTTCAGCTTCATGTTAATTAAGGTCCTCCTGTGCACATTTGAATGAATAAATGGGCTGAGTGTTCTTCACAGTGCCCAGGCTGCTTTTCAAACCCTACAATGAGAGTAGGGAGTCCAGCAGATCTAGCAGAGGAGCAGGCAAAAAAGCAGCAGCCCTCTTTCATTGTCCAAGCAAGAGTGTAGCAACAGGCACTATTGCTGGGCTGCAGCCCCAGGCAGGAAATGTGAACACACACTTCTCACTAGGTGGGGTTCGGTCCTTTTCCTCAGCTGCCCTACAAGAGAGCCCCGTCAGCTCAAGGTTCCTGCACCCATCTATTTTCCAACAGCCTCCTGCCCTCTTGAAGTAGCATTAAATACTTTCCAAAAATGCTTCACTCCCTCCCAGCCTTCTGGGATTGTTAAGGGCAGGAAATTCAAGGGTTATATCATAAATATATTACTGTAATGAGATGGGAGGAGTTAAACAGTTCTGTTAAGAGAATGGCGAAGGTATGGAGCAGACTCTATCCAGCTGCGTGGGTGTGATGAACAGGGGCCATTCCACTTCCAATTCTGGAAGGTTATGTTTGGTCCATAGTTGTGTGAGAGACTTCCAAGATGGGGACATAAGTCCTCCTACTCACATGTACACATGCATTGTAGGAAGAGGTTTTGGGGTCCCTGCTAAGAGCTTCACCTGCCTGGACTGGACATAATAGCCCATAAAAGCAATGATGTTGTTTGAAGCATCTTTCCAGCAAACAAACCACCACCAACGAAGGATGCAGCATTTTCAGAGGGGCTACAGGATGTTACTGCCACTGCCCCAGCCAAGTCCCACCATTGATTGCTGCATCTTCCCTCCCCACAGTCCCTTTGACAAAATGCTTTCAGGACTCTTCTTCACCTCATGCCCCTAAACACTGGGCAGTGTCAAACAGCTGCTGCATTTCAGGGGAGGGTGAAGCAATTGCTATGAAACTTATAAAATAATTTAGGGCTGAAGAGTATAATATTCCTTCAGGGCTGTGAGAAGCACAAGCTCCAATCATATGCCATTGCAAAGGCTGTTTTTTTCCCCATTGCAAAGGCTGATTTTCCCCGACAGCTCCCCACTTGAGGCATAGCCTCTCAGGCCTCCCCACCTAGTCACCCCATGTGTGCTGCTCCCAGCAGAACCCCCAGGGTCAACCCGGACCCCAGCATCCTGGGAGGCAGCTGGTGCCAGGGAGAGGTGTGAGCAGTTCCCACCTGGGCAGGCCTGGCTTTGGGGGTCACAACGACATGGGTGAGGGAGCTCCCTCCATCCCACTTATCCACCTCTGCCTGGCCGGGCTGGGAGCTACCAGACCTCCGGGTGCTGCGAGTATGACCCCGAGTCTATTAACCTCCCTTTCGAGGGTATCAGAGACCTCTGTGCATTTGAGGACTAGCAGGGACATCCCCAGGACTCGGGCTATCAGCACTGCTCCAAGTCCGAAGGCTATCGGGACCCCTCCGGGCTGGTGTCCGGGGGCAAGGGTGGGAACCTCGAGGGGATGCCGCGCCGCTGCGTCTCGCCGCGCCTGTCCCCCCGCCCCATCCCCCCGGGGCTTTGGGACCACCCCAAGCCCAGTGCCCCCCGGAGGGGCACGGCCACGGGGGTGCTCGCCTTACCCCCAGTCCCGCCCCACCCCAGGGCTGTCCCCGGAGGGGACCCTCCGCGGAGCCCCGCCGGTGCCCCTGCGGCCGGGGCGGCGGCAGGTAAAAGGGGGTCGGCGGGGCTGGGGCGCTGTGGGTCCCCGGCCCCTGCTCACCTCGGCGACACGGCGGCTCGCGGGGCTATCGCGGGGTGCGGCGGCGGGGGACGGCCATGCCCGGTGCGGCGGCGGCCGGGCTGGGGAGGCGCGGGGCTGCGGAGGGAGCTGCCGCCGCGTGTGCCGCGCCGCTCCGCCCGCCGCCGCCGCCGCCGCCGCCGTGCAGCCCCGGCCGCCTGCCAGCGGCTGCGTGTGCCTGCACATCCCCGCTCCCTCCCCGGGACATCCCGCCTCCCGCCGCCCCAAACCGCAGGCAGCCCCCGATTCGGCCCGCCCTGCCCGCTCACCCCTGCCCTGCTCCCGCCGCCGGGGGCGGGGGGACCCCGGCACGGCCCCGCCCGACCCCACCGCCCCGGGGAGCTGCGGCTGCGAGGGCTCACCGGCCCCGGCTCCCAGCACCGATCGCAGAGCACGGAGAAGTGTCCCGGGCTGGCGATCCCCGCAGGGGCGCGGCCTTGCTGGGGGCACCCCGCCCGGGGCTCCGTGGGGGCTTCCGCGCTCCCCGCCCTCGCCGGGGCAGGGACGCGGTCCCGCGGGGCACTGAGTTTCTCAGCCCGGCGCCCCTCTCAGGAATAGGTGCGCGATGATCCGAGCCTTCGTTTTGCTCAGATTATCTGAAATAATACTAATAAGCAAAAACACCTCCTGCAGCCCCTCCCTGATGTCCTGGGGTCCACTAAAACACCTCCACTGGCAAACTGTAGAAGCCCCATCCTTAAAATAAAGGTTCAACTTGTAGTAGTCACCCCACAAAAAAGAAGCCATCCAGAGAAGCTGTTGTCCCCAACATTTTTCTCACTTCCACTCATGGGATTTGGACATCAGCACTTCAGTGGACAATAAGGAACAATCAGGAAACTATGGGAGAGGGTCTGGGCTGTCACACCTTCAGAAGAAACAACTGCCCCCTCTCCTCCTCACCTTGCATGGCCTTTCTGCTGCTTGACAAGATGATATCCATCACCTTCAAAGGTCCTAGCAATCCTTAATTAAATTACAAGTTCACATCAGTCAGCTTTTTTCTACCCTTGTATCCCACAAGGTTTGCTTTTTTTTACCCAGAAGGAAGAAGAACCATGTCCTACAGGCACTTAATGGATGTTTTCACGCTCCATCTCATCTCATCAGACAAAGCTCAACAAATCCCTGCTCTCACCTTCTCTAGTCCCCCCAGCCCTCTGCAGTTCCTGACAGCCCTGTCAGTCCCCTGTGGCAACCATGGGTAGGTAGCTCTGCAGGCCTCAGGACCCAGTAAGAGCCCAAGCAGCAACCCCATCAAAGCCAAGGTCTCTACCAGCTCTGAGCAGGGACCCCTACTTGCTCATCCTTGGCATGCCTGGACAACACAACATGATTGAGCGATAAAATGGAAAATGGAGGCCTACCACCCTGCCTACCTGTGCAGCAGCTGCCTCCTTCCTGCCTCCCTCCTGCTCTCCTGTCAGCCAGGAGCCCTGTTCCATCCCTTGCCTTCTTCCTCCTTCTGTCTCTATCATCCCACAGACAGAGGGACAGAGAAGTCCAAACCTCCTGCTTAGGTTGCTCCATCAGCTCTTTGGATATTTATGGGACAGGTGGGCACCAGCTCCATCCTGAGATACTTCCTGTGATTCTACATCCCTTCTCATCCCCCGATCCCTCACAGCCAGCTCAGCCTGCTTTTGAGCCCTGATTCCTACCATGTCTAGAGCTTACAGCAAAAAGGAGAGGGGAAGACTGAGGGAAAAGCACAGCTTGTGGTACTTGGTTTAAAACCAGACAACATCTCCTTCCATCGCTACAGCTCTAGGGTCTGGAACGATCCACATTTCTGCTCTGACACCCATAACACCCTGCCTTGCACTCTTTGCCAGTCATGGTTGGAAGCTAAGGCAACACCTCCAACACTGAGTGTAGGCTGCTCAGCCTCACCTCACCTCCTCCCTGAAATCCTACCACCTTCACTAAATGTGTCAGATAGAACACCACCTACTGCAACATCCTCATCTGCTCCTGTATTCCTCTTCTGGGATCTGCCCTGCTCCTGACCGCACTGCAGTGCAATGTCATTTCACAGCCATGCCCCGGCGCTCTTAAACCTCACCTGCTTAAATGTCCCTAAAAAACCCTCTGGATGCCATGTGTGCATTTGAATGGGAAGACAGGAGGGGGCCTGCAGAGGGGCTCCGACATATGCTGATATCTGTAAGTGTCTGAGTCCACAGCATGAGCGCTGTGAGAGATGGAGATGGGGCTAGGTTGCAGCCAACAGACTCGGACATGTGGCTCTCCCTGTGCTGCCTCTCTTGGAGGTGAGAGCTGTACCAGCAAGTGAGGGCTCTCCAGGCTGAGGAGATAAAGTTGGTTGCTGAAGATCTGAGCTCCAAGGAAGGGGAATGAAGAACAAAATCCAGGGTGGGATTTCAGAAGGTGGGATACTGAGGAAATGTGTTTAGTGGTTTGAGGTTTGGCTTTGCATTTGAGTATCACAGAGAGAAGCAGGCAGGGATGGATGGGAGTAAAAGGGGAATACAGAGGAGGGAGAAGAGACCCATGCAATGTGAACCTTGGGTGCACTCCTTCTTCCACTCTGAAGGGCTCCAGTCCCATCCCAGGGCACAATCCTGTCTCAGATTTGCTGTGTCAGTCTGTGGACTGCCTAGTACTATTTAATCAGAGCAGCTCTACTTGCAGACCCAAGAAATGGGCATTGAAGGGATTCCTGTGGTTGGCTTAGACCCTGCTCTACCAGGCTCTGATCCGTGCCGTGCCATCCCTAGAGGCGTCTCAGATGGAACAGCTGCTAGATCAGAATTAGGGAGCATTTTTTCCTAGCCATAAGAGTACCTCCATGACTTTTCCCTCCAGCAAAGGAAACCCCACAAAGCAGGGACCTGGAGCGGGAACAGGAGCAAACTTTTGTCAGTGTTTTCCCTCCAATGCATGCCAGATGAATACTCCCTCCCCCACCACCATCCCAACACACCTTCACCACTCACAGACAGAGGGAGGAATTACCTGTCAAAACCAGCTGAAGCTGCTTCCCTTTCTTCCGGAGTCTGGAACCTGCACCTTGGAGGCAGCCAGACATCAGGGACAAGAAGCAGATGGTGAGCTAAGAAAACAGATAATGATGCCTCTTTTCCTTCACA